GCTGACACAAGTGGCTTTACCTTGTTCATGTACAGTATAACCTATACACAGAAAAAGCTAATTCTAGAAAGGCAAAACCCTTCTCTTGGCCAGGTTGTATTTTTAAGCTTGGTAAATTGAGTTCCCTGCATCTTCCTCCTTTGCTGGAAGCACCAGACCTGCAGCAAGGCAATGCTGTGGCAGTGCTCTGACACCCTTGGGCTCAAGCCAGGTGGCTGAATCTGTCCCTTGCCCATGGGCCGGTCGAAGGAGCCATTCTTGTGTCTCCTTTAGCCCTGTACAGGTCAGAGCACTCAAACTGCTGTCATCTGCAGCAGAGGCCGCACTGGAGGTGAAGGGACAGATGAGGTTTGTGGCTGGGTTTGTTTCCATCACAGACAGACGAAAAAGAGTTGCGGCAAACAGTTGAGTGGGAAGATGGTTACTGGTCCCTTGGTGGGGATGCGGGGGACAGGGACATCGGCAATGCCCTGGCTGGTTACAAAGCGGCAGGACCACCTCCTGAGTGCTGGCTCAGGTACGTGCTGCCTGAAGCAGGCACTCAGGAGGTGAAACTGCCAAGGGGCAGTAATTTTTAAGTGGAGATTTCAGGAGCACACGCTTGCAGCATAGCACACGCTTGCGCAACGCACCTAACACACAGCTGCGGCATTGCAGGCATGCACCCCATGCTCGCAGCATAGCACACGCTTCCCAGCTAGCACATAGGCAGCATAGCGCATGTTCGCCCGCCCTCTGATCTGGCCTGGCTGTTTGCACTCTGTGCAGCATCCCTGAGCCCTGCAATCATGGAGGAAAACCAAAAAGAAGGCTGAGCCCCTTTCCTGTCACTCTGCTGGGGGTCCTGGTTTTAATAAAGGGCTGCTCTAGTCCTTCCAAAAGGCGCTAAGCCCCAGGCCTGCTCAGAGCTGGCCAGAATAACCCTGATGGTTTGAGGGCTTCTTTTTTTCTTTTTCTCCTCTTTCTTGATTTGGTGCTGCCTGGTGAGGCTGGACTAGGGACCTGTGGCACAGAGTAATTCAAAGATGTGGCCACAGCCACACCGTGGCACCCAATATGTGGCATGGGACGTTACCACCAACTCATCCTCAACAGCAGCTGGTCAAGAATTCCCCCTGGTGTTTCAGAATGCTGCTAGCTGACCTGCACAGACACAACTCTCCTCTGCTACTGGAGGAACCACCAGGACGGGTCAATGCACCGCCAAGGCACAGACCCACCATCAAGTTTCTGCTCCAGCACCCGTATGTTGGGCAACCCCCAGCAGTTTATCTACAAGATCAGTGAAGACAGTTGCTGGTGAGGGGCAAGTTTATAGGCAATGACAAGCTGTGAATCACAGGAAAAGCAGCAGGAAACAGATGCTCGAAACTTCTGGTCCATTAGGCTCCCAGCCCAATGCACCTCTTCCCACATTACAGGCTGTTTTTGGAACGTTAACAGTAGGCAAAATTTCAAACTTTGCACGGGACTTGTTCTGCTCTTGCCATGAAAAGCAGCGGCTGTTTTCCTGGAGTCCCCTGCCATAAGCACCTCAGAAAAGGCAATAGCCACTGGGCAAGGAAAGGAAGCTCCTTTTTTTTTGGGGGGGGGAGAGCGGGCGCCACATTGGATGCGTGTCAAAGCAAACCATGGGCTCCCAGCCGCAGTGGCATGTCCCTGCTTGCAGGGCAGCGGGGAGATGCAGTGCTCCCTTGCCTGGCCTAGTTCTGCACCCCGTGCTTCCCTGGCTCCAGCCCAGCTCTGCACTTTGCCGGGATGTTGGGGAGCACTCCTGTCCAGGTATGCAAACACCCCCGGGTGCTGCAACCCCTGCCGGCTCAAAGGCACTGCCAGCCAGCTTTAGCTGTTATACGTTCAAATCTGTCCTTCTGTAGGATTTAACCTGTGTTTTAACTATGCCATCCTAAGTTGTGAGCTGTTTTTTTGTGCAGTTCCCCAGCAAACTGAGCGGTTCTGCTGAATACACTCTTCTGGAGCAGCTATAAATGATTGCACCTCGCTAGTGCACACTGGGACACCCATGAAAAGCAGACCTTCCCAGGGGGTTGGACCTTCCCAGTCCTCTCCTTATGACTCACTTTTGCACACAGACTAAAACCTCCTTTGCTTTTGGCTCCTGCGCTAAGATTAAATTAGCCATTGTCCACAGGCATGGTAAAAATTTTCTTACCTTTCAGGCTGTCTGGCATAAACCAGACACAAACCCTCCCTTTGAGAAGCGTTTCAGAGCAGGTCTTCAGCTCTGGTGTAGTTCAGCCCTGGGAGCTCATAAAAGGCATGTCTATGCTTTCACTGAGGCACTAATTGCTTCCACATTACAACCTTCTGCATGCCGAGGTTTAGCATCTGTCAGGAGTACCCATTTTTGTTCCCAGCTGGAGCTGTTGCTAGCTGGCTGCTGCTCTCATGGCACAGTGCGGCTTTTGCAAAAGCCCTTCAACATCTGCACGACTCAAGCCCCCGCGCTGCCCCAGCTCACCGCTCGCCTGTCTGGCTTGGACACAAAAGGACACTGGACACAGGAGCCATGCACACCCTCTCCCCTCACCCCCACGTTGGCAGCAAGCCTTCTCTCCCGGGTGCGGCTCCAGCACCCCCTGAACCCATGTGCAGCCCATCCGTCCTTGTGAAACGGTGCCTCCCCAAAACCAGGGGCCCTGCTACCCCAATCCCTTGCCTTGGCTGCAATTTTTCGCATCCAGCCCCTGGGCTGAGGACCACCGCTGTAACAGAGGCAGGTCTTCCAGTTACTCTTTCTGCTTGCAGAGCTGTTTGCCTTTCATGTTGTGTCTTACCCAGACTTACAGCGGCAGAGGAATGTTACAGGGAATGCCTGGTTTGGATTTGTCAAGCTAGTTTGAACAGACTGCAGCCAGACCCTTTTCCTGCCTCCCACTTTAGTTGAGAGTGCTGTGCCTTTTTCCGTGCCTGCTTTCCTAGGGCTGCTCCTCATAACCACCCCAAATGAGGAGGTGCAAGCAGAAGAGGCGCTTTCCACTGTCTTCTCCCACATCCCCTGTTAAATCAAGTCTGTTACCGGCACGAGACAGGTTCTCCTCAAGCACAAAACATTGTGTATCTGTATGACAGCATAAGTAAAAAATGGTGCCTGTGGTTAGCTCTGGCTGGAAATGCCATTGTAGGCAGCAAGATGCCAGGTTTCCGCAGGCTGGCCCTGTTGAGCTGTCTAAACGTAGCTGCGGTGCAGGCCAGTGAAGAGGCATCTTTAAGCAGTAGCTAAACTAAAGCAACTTCTCCAGCCCAGGCTGCACACCCACAAAGGAGCACAGGGAGACAGTGGTGGGAGGGGGAGCCCAAATAATGCCCTGCCAGGCTACTCCAAGGCCCATCATCGGGGCCATCAGCTCATCAAAGGCCCATCTGCACAAGTCTAGAGCTGCACAGGGACACAGTGGCAGACAGAAGCCCAACTGAAGGACTCCTGAGGAATGAACACCCTGTCTAGGCCCCTTTCAGGGCTGTGTTTGCAGAGCCATCAGCCCCTCTGTCCAGGAGGGAAACCCATCACCATGTCTTTGTCTTGGGGGGATCTCATAAATGTTTATAAACACCTGAAAGGAGGGTGCAAAGAGGTTGGAGCCAGGTTCTTTTCAGTGGTGCCCAGTGACAGGACCAGAGGCGATGGGCACAACCTGAAACACAGGAGTTTCCCCCTGAGCATCAGGAAACACTTTTTTACTGAGGGTGACTGAGCAGAGCACTGGCACAAGTGTTGTACAGGGCAGTTGTGGAGTCACCATCCTTAGAAAGAGCTGTCTAGACACAGTCCTGGGCAGCCTGCTCTAGGTGGCCCTGCTTGACCAGGGGGGTTGGACCAGAGGACCTCCAGAGGTCCCTTCAACCTCAACCACGCTGTGAGTCTGTGTGTCATGGAGCTGGCCAGGCCACCTTTTGGGCTGAGGTGGCTTGCTGTTTAGTGGCATGGGACACATCAAGGGATGCATGGGAAGAACATGTTGGAATTGCACAGGACTTATTATGGGATGTTCAGGAGAGGAATCAAAGGTGGGAAAAGGGAGGGATTTAGGTGATTTAGGGAACAAGTGTGGGAAATAGAGGGGGAAGGGGATAAGGAAGGGTAGTTGTGTAAATAGTTGGCTAGTCAGTACACTTCTCTGGCCATGCCCTGCACCTGATCAGCACAATCTGTTCTGCATCCTTATTAAATTCCTTTCTGACATTTCTGGGTGAAGGCTCTGTATTCTGTGTCCATGTGTGCATATATAGACATGAGGGGAGCAACAGGAGTCAGACTGTGGGTCGGAGGAGCTGTGTGTCCATGGTACAGCCATTGAAGTGGGGAAGGGGGGGTGCAATCCCTAGTGAAGATCAAGCAGGACTAGATGGAGAGCAGGTGAAGTGGCTTAGGAGAAAAGGAGTGTGGGGGTCTCCAAGGGCCAGCTCAGGGTGTCAGAGCACCTGGATGTCTCTAGGAGTGAGAGCACAAGGCTATGGGACCAGGGGAGTCCTGGCCAGTTGCGTGCCTGTGAGTGAGACTGTCTGTACCAGCAACTGAGTGGGGCTGCAGCCTCAGGGGGCTCACATCCCCAGGTGCCAGCAACTGGGAGAATGGCATCCAGGGACCAGCAGTTACTGGGCAGATTGAGTGTCTGAGCCCAGCAGCTGGAGGGATCCACCACGTACATGTGTCTCTGTGTGCACCTCATACAGGCCCTTGGTGCTGTCTATGTCTGCATTAAGTGTCGTGTGTCTGACTGTGATCTGTGGCCAGATGTGTACGTAGGCGGTGTGTATGTGTGCTCTGTGCCTACTAGGAATATATCTTCAGCCTCACTAGTTGTTGGACTTGGCCGGATGGAGCTGAAGCAGCCTCACCTCTCTTTGGCTGTCATATCTGGCATGATACACTTTCCTCTAACACCAGCCTTCCTGCTGGAGCTTTTGTGTAGTTAGCAGGATGCTTATGCTCACACAAGAGTGCTTTGTCAGCGATATGAAAAGGATACAAAGGAGTATCTTTGAAAAGTTTTATTTTACACCCTCAGTTTCAGAAACCTTTATACAAACTACAGAAACCAAATCAGAGCAGTGAGTTGCAGAAGTTTCCTCTTCAGGCACATAAGCAGCCTACTTTTCATTAATTCACCTTTCCTGTATCCAAAAGCAGGGCGCTGCACTCCCTCATCTCCCCAAGATGTTGAAGGACTGAAAGGACCCCTTTGGGGTCAATGTTGTTGAATTACTATCAGCCACTAGGAGGGTCATACCCACGCTGGAGCATTCCCCGCTCCTCCCCACTCCCTCTACCTCCTTCAACTCTGGAAACACCGTAAAGCCTCCAAGAACAAGGTGATGGTTTCTGACCTGTGGGAGCATGTCCGCAAGAGAAGACCTACTCTATAACCAGCAAAGGCAGCCCAGGGCAGGCAGGTGAGTTTCCATCCTGTATTTCAAGAGGGAACAGGTAAAGGGATTTGCTCATAGATACTGGCAGGTCCCAGGGAGAAGCTGTTTCACCTCTCATAGCAAGGTACCAGCCACTCAGCTCATTCAAAATGGCTGCGGTTCAGTTGCTGGATCAGGCGTGGACTTGTGGAGTCCTGAATCAGGTGCTTTACTTCCCCCCAGGCCGGCTTTCAAAAACGTGCCTGTCCGCCTTTAAAAAGGAGTCCAAGCCCTCCTGAATATCAGTAAACAACAAGGTTCTCCACAGGCTGTTCTGTCTTCTACCTTGCTCAGACGATGAGAAGTGCTATTGCCTCCCCGTGGTTTTCAGGTTCTCCACCAGGGAAGGAGGCTTTTTGGTCCTATAAGCAGCAGTGCCTGCGATCCGGGCCCCTTTGATGGTACTGATGTACGGCAAAAGGGGAGGCTCCCGCACCACCAACGCGGTGCCCTTGGGAGTATAGGCTCGGAGCAGCAGTTTCTCTTCTGCGTGAGCTGTCACTGCCACCCAGCCTGCACAGCCAAAAAAAATACAGTCAGTGAGACGAGTGACTAGTATCAGAATGAGGGTTCTGATGCCAGCTCCGTGCCTCCTATGTTGGCTAAGAACCTGAGCTACCCAGGTGTGATTTCTTTGAGAAACCAAGCTCAAAGGTAACATCCAGCCCTTTCCCAATAGAAGGCAGCACCTAAAGCCACATCTTACTCTCCCCAAACACAGCTCTTTCATGGTGAATTTAAGAGGGATGGTGGGAACTACCAAAAACACAACAATAAAGCTTTCCAGTCTGTGGCCCTTTCCCCTCTCACCTGGACAGCGGACAGCGTCACAGCCATTCCTGATGCTGTGGAACTTGTATGGCAGCCAGAGCATAAAGTATTTCAATGTGGTCATCCTGTACAAGCATGGTTGTCAATCTCCATTCTTGGAGGTTGCCAAGCCTCAGCCGGACAAAGTCATAGCTGCCCTGATTTTGTGTTGGTGACAGTCCTGCTCTGAGCAGGAAATAGGACTTCATCCCTTCAGAGGCCTCTTCCCATCAATATTTCTAGGATGCAGGCCCTGCAAAGCAAACTAATGAAGAAATATTAAATTACCTGCAGAGGAAAGCTTGATATCTGCAACTGCCTCAGTGGTACCAATTCCTTCCAGTGTAATGTCCTGAGGGACAAGTGGGGGGAACTCTTTCATTCGCTCTTCCCCACCCATGGGAACCTAACATCAAAACACGGAGAAAAGATTTAACAGTCAAGAGATGCTTCGGCACTCCTACCTTAAACTGGCGAGCAAGGCACGAGGGGGAATAAAGGTATTAGACCGTTGTTATCAAAGTAAGAGCTGGCTTCAATACCCTACAGGAGTTATTTCAGGTTTGCCAAGAACAGAATCGGGATCACATCCAGAGCAACCCAGTGGGAGCTCAGAGGTGAGCAAAGATGGAGTGCCCACTGCAGGATCCAGCTGGTGGCTCAAGCCAGCTGCCTTGATGTGAGTGACAGCACTTGTTCTCCATGTGCGCAGGAAGGGAGCTGCCAGGACAAGGACAGCTCACCCCATCCCCCATCAATGTGCACGTGCCACACAGTATGTGACAATACCAAGGAAAAAGTCAGACCACCAAAATGTGCAGGGATGTGCAGAGGATCCAACCAGGAAAGAATAAGAAAGGTACATTTTTCAAATGCAATCTGTTCTGAAACCCCAGTCTGAAGTTTGCCATGGAAAACACCCCCATTGCTGCCTGCACTTTAAGGCTGTTCAAGAAAAGCCAAGCATCAGAGAGCAGAGCACCACAAATCTTATCAGTCTGAATGCTAGAAACAGAAGCTCCACTGAAAATGCATCATCTTGGGTGCTCCCTCCTAACACAGCTGCAGCCATGCAGTCTGTGCAAGACTGCTCCACACTGCAGATCTCCACTTTTCCCATTGCAGAAGTCCCAAACTCCTGACATGTGCTGGTTTTCCCCGTCAATTGTGCCCCAGACAGGGTGCTTCACCAGGTGGGATGGCCTGCCTATCTGCAACCAGGAGCCCACGACAGTACCTCCTCTTACCTTTAGTAACTCTTGGCCAGCATGCTTCTCGTAGATAGCATCTGCGTTACTCAGGGTAGCAATGTGGACTGGCAACAGGTTAGAAGCCACGACAGAAAACCAGGCAGGCTTTTCTCCCTGAAATAAGTAACAAGAAGAGGATGTTACTTATTATAACAGAAAAGCAGCCCTGAATTGCTCTCTCCTGCTCTGTTTCTTTCCTGCATGTTGAAAACCTGTTTGACTGATGTCCCCTCCCTGTCCAAGGAGGGGTCCTTGCCTCTGTCACTGCAGTGCAGCCAGGGTTTATATGAACAGGGGAGCTGGACTTCCAGGACAGAAGCACCCACGGCTTCACCATCCTGCCTCAAAGCACCCCCAATACCACATCCACTGCCATCACATCTGCTCAGCTCAGGCAAATCATCCAAGAGGTATCTTTGCTCTCGTTTAATTTCCAAGAACAAACTCAGTGTGGTTATTTACCATGAGAGGTGATGGACATCTCCTGTCTAGTGCTGCTTCTCCTGTCATTTTACATTTCTAACATGCACCTCTCATCGAATCGTACTTGGTTGCAAGCTCCTCTCATGCTATACAAAGACTGAATGTGGAGCAATTTCAGCAGGCACTCTCGTAACTTTTGCACGCAAAGCAAACAAGGTCAGAGAGGAGAGAAACCTCTGCAAACACAGCTAGCAGCCTGAAGTAAGGAAACCCAAGTGCAGCAATTCCTTCAAGTTCATCACAGATCTAATCTGAGGCAGGGGCTCCTCTGTCATGGTCTGAGCACAACTGTCTTTCTTCAAGGCCTCTGGAAGATGTAGATACGCAAGACTGATGCAGCAATGGGCTGAGACAGATACCGAGGACCTGTGGGGCCCTAAATGTGCACAGCTCAGCTTGCTAGGAGCACCATTACATGGAGAACAGGCTTATAGCACGAAGCCTAACTGCCAGCCCCGCTGCACTGGACATGTCTCCGAGCCTGATCCTCTTATCAGGAGATGGTGTGACACTCCTTTACCCTGACCTCAGGTTCCCCAGGCTGCCAACACAAGCTGCATTCTCCACAACTCCCAAGAACAAAAGTCATCCCTCATGATAAAACAACCCCTCAGGCAGCCCTGCGGCCAGACTGCCTGCCCTATCCTCTTCATTGTGTGAGAGGCCTCGTCCACGCTCACAGGCTGGCCTGATCTTGCAGCATTTCTGCAGACGGTGTTTACTGCCAGCAAGACGTCACCTGTATCGCTGTCCTACTTTGTCAGGGATGCAAATCCAGGAGCTTTCTCGAGTCCCTGGTAGCGCCTAACCAACATGCCTAGAAAGTTCTTTTCCGAGAGCTTTGCCCAAGACAGTATGGATAAAGACAGGTTTTCTTCTGCTGGGTTGCTCTCCTCACAAACAGCACTTTTTCCTGAGTGAGGCATTACTCCTCTGTATTGCCAAGCTATTTTTTGGGCCAGGGCTCTGGATTCTCACCTTAGCTATGATGGAGCTCTCCTGCCATGCTAGGACACTATTACTTACAGAATCCTGTCCCCTTCATCTTTCTGTTTTTCTTCCAGCAGGTCAAGAGTGTCCCCAGCAAAGTACCAATTCAACATTTCTATGGTGATCTTGGAAAGCTGACTGAAACAAAGGAATAGCCATACACACACGCCCTCCCAAAATCGGGCAAACTACTGAGAAAGGCATTATCATAAGTGCTAGACCCGTACCTGGAAAGAACCACCCCTTCCAGAGGTAACATCATGGGAGGTCAGCTCCATACAGCCCAATAAAGGTGTATGGCATGGGATTGCTAATAAATGGAAGAAATTGGCAGGGGAGGGGACACACAGCGCTTTTTAAAAATATTTTTACAGAAACTAAGATACATGTACTTTTAATTGCTTCCTTGGGCAAATTCTTCAGAGAGGTCTGTGTCAGGAAAAAAAAATGCCCATGCTTTTCTCTCTTGGCAGACAGCTTTCATGAAATGAGGAAAACGCCTCTTTTCCTTTAATTCTGGCACTCTCCTTCTTCCCTCCCTCCCTGCCTTGTGCCTTTGTATGTTATGGGCAGCACATCAAGCTGAAGGCATTTGTCAGCATTCAAAAGCAGTTACTGTTCTACAATATAAAATACTGCACACTGGTAACAAGTATCAAACCTTTCAACTGCAACTCCGCATCCCAAGGCATTTTGACTTTATGCAGTGCTTTATTAACAGATTCATCGTCTCAAAAGCAGCAAAGAAAGAGTCTGGGAAAGCTACCCAGAATACTTACTATCATCTGGTACTATTGACAAGAGATGAAGCAGCTGCTCACAAAATCCTTTCTTCCCTTACCTGTAAGTAGTCTACACGTCCCAAGGCTGCTAAAAACAAGACCATTCCTGGCTTGAGAATGAAGGTCCGTGGAATGATGGCATGTGTTGGCAAAACCAGCTTTACTTCTTTCTCTGTCAGGAGATTTAAAACCTGCAAAATAAATTGTACTGCCATTACTCATTCCAGATGTTTCAACGGGGACAATGACATTAATATCGGTAGTATGTTGATAGAGGAAAAAGTTCAAGCAGAGCAGTGTGAAGAATGTCTAACAGAACAGTTCAATTCTGGTCCACACAGTAAGTGAGAAGCAGGAGGAGATAGGGATGTCACCAATCTCCATGGCAATGCAGGGTCCATAACAAAGTCTAAGAGCTGCCAGCAGCCTGCTGGACCACGGATTCGGGATTCCTGGGTCTGGCTGGAACAAGCTTATCTAAGATTGACAAGATTTACTGTGCTTTAGCATGAGTGCAGCCATGTGCAGAACTGGAGACCACCTTTGGCTATGACATTTGAGTTACTCCACTTAGGTAGTGTTGCAAAGTGCCAAATCAATACTAGCAGCAAAGCTCGTCTCAAATATCTCATTGAGAGAAAAGTGCTGGATCACACTGTGAAACAACTAAAACTGCAGGATGACCAGCCTGCCACACAGCGTGAGATCCGTACCCTGGGCACAGTGAAACAAGCTCTCCCCTCTGTGAGGGCTCCCAAATGCTCCTGCTGCTTGTATTCCCCTCCTCCCTCTTCCCTTCCATCTCTTGGCTTAACTGGCTCATCTGTGTAGTTGCTAACTTGTTTCAGTGAAATGATCCACCCAAGTCTACTGAAAAGCCAGCGACTTAACCAGCAGTGCCGCAGCCACAGTGGTCTGATCGCTTCCTGAAGGACTGTTCAAACCCAGCTATGAAACAACGTGCAGAGACAGAAGTTCAGGAAGCAGTGCCTTGAAGGAAACAACTAGCCTCCAGGTTGATGGCGTCTCTTTCCTAAACACAGGGAACTGACAGCAGAAATGCTTCCAACTATGCCCCCCATGCATGCCAGTGTCATGCAAATACAAGTTTGTAGCAGTCTGGCCATGAGGATTAACCTCAATTGAGGATTAAAAGACCTAACTAACAAGGCTTGTGGTGCAGCCAGAACCCCAAATGCTCTTCCTATGTTCACAAGCAGACAATCTTTACCTTGAAAGTCAGGGCAGCCTTCAGCACTGATTCTGAAAGACCAGGAGGCTTTGCCCTGCTAGCTGCAGGTTTTCTGATGCGTTTGACAATGCTTAAACCAAAATTTGAGAGTTATCAGTAATCCTTTTCTATGCTTTCCAGGAGTTTGGCTTTGGAAGGAGTCATGAGGAAGCAGCTAAAAGCAGAGCTCCAAGGAACAAGGACAAAAATGTAATTCCATCATATGCTAGTAGCCACTTTCCCTCCCTCTCCTTCCAAAGTAAAATAACCCAGAAAGCAAACCTGTTCGTAACTAGAAATCTTCCCGGCCAAAATCTGCCACATAGACCATCTGCTTGTCCTCCAGCCAGATCGAACACTGACCACAGAAACAAAATTTGATCTGAAACCTGGCATGTAGCTCTCCAAAGGCCCAGCAAGGATAATCAAAATCAGAAACGGCAGCAAGTATTTCTGGATGCAGGAAAGCCCACTTGTTTTCCACACTTATTCAACTCCAGAAGAGGGGAAGAACATATCCAATCTCCAGTTACCAAACCAGGTCTCTAAGCTGATGACCGTCTTTAGACCGGACACTAACCAGCTATCAGAGAGCAAAGTGCCACAGTAAAGTGGGTTACAATCTGGCAAACATTATCTACTGGAAAACCAGTAGTTTTCTAGTGTTCATAAAAGCAGGATCTGCACTTGAGCTGTGCAGTCTCAGTACAGTTCTTGCACTTCCTTCTCTTCAGGACTTTCCTATCCCCTTGTACTTTTTAATCTTCCCAAAAAGATGACCTGCAGCTCTGCATAGATATCAAAGCAATCAAAAATCAAAACACGACTTTTTTGGACGTGTGCACTACATCAGCACTGGCTTCAGAGCCATTGCTCTACTGAAACACTGAGGTAGGCCTGACGCATTGGAGCTGTTAACAGGAACACTGCAGATCCTGTTAGCTTCAGGAGAATGCTTTCTCAAAGATTTGGTTCAGTCACACAACACTGGTTATCCTCCTAAGCTCCGCCTTTTGTCAGTAGGCTGGCAGAGCTAAAAAAGTGCAAACTTCTTTGGCGATGACGGTATAAACTTGCTTATAGCACTATTGCTTACTTCCCTTCGTTCCGATGTTAAGAAAGTTTGCTGACGCAGTCGCACAGTTCCTTTGAAAAGATCACAGTATGCACTGTTCAGAAATGTAACAGCGTTAACACAATGAACCCTTCCCAAGTAAATACAAACCATATTTTAACACAATTGCTCAAACCAAAAGAATCCTAACCCCAGGACTGCAGCAGAAATACTCTCCCACATGCACAGCTAAGGCAGAACAGTCCTCCCAAACCCTGACCTCCCAAAACACAGCACCACAGACTACCTACGCAGTTTTCCTTTACAATCCCTGGAGTGTCAAAACACCAGCGAGCATCCTTCACTTCGTTGTGTGTGAACTCTTCCCTTTCCTCATGCTTCCTAGGGGAATGCCTGGGATCTTCATCTATGCTGTATGAGAGCATGTCAGGGTCAAAGTCAACCACAGGGCTAGACTTCTGCCGTTGAAATGTTCTTCCAACTCTTCCTGGATTAAAATGAAAGGTTTCCTGGTAATTAATTGCTTAAATTGCCTTTCCTTCAATTGGACATCTGTCCCTTCCCTTGCTTAGAAGAGATGCACACTGGCAATATAAAGGTGATAAAGATGCTATGTGGCAAGAAATTTGCGTGTTCAAAAGCCAAGACGCTAAGTAACTCCTTCTAGAATTCTTGCTTAGCACTCCTCAAGCCGAAAAACCTTAGCAGGGACCAGATCAGATACCCCGTTATTTCCATTTTACAATAAAGCAGGCTGCCTTCTTTTTTCAGTGCCTTAAACTGTCAAACACGGAATTATTTGAAAATCAGAGCTATCTTCCGGCAACCCCCTTTTGGATACATACTAAAAACACCTAGCTGATGGGAGGTGTGCTGCACAGAGGAAACCTCTGCAATGCTACTACAACAGCTGAAAAATAAGTACTTGAAAGAAATACTAATGATGCTACTTACAGAGGAGCTAGAGGTCTTGCATCCACTACTCGGGGAACAGAAACTGGCCAGAATAACTTGAATGCAAGTTTGGATATTTTTTATTGCTACTACAAGATAGCCTGTTTTTCCCATAATTAAATGGAAATGAGTTCTTTCAGAGTGGGAAGAAATTACTTGCCAAAACCAGCCGATTCTGCAGCAAATTAAGGGGTTAACAGTCCTTTGCGTAATACAGCATTTTCATCGGGGCAGAGGGGCAATACCTTTACTCAGGCGATACTCACCCACTAAGTAACCTTGCTTTTTAAGGTGATTAAGGTACTTTTTTTCTTCACTGCTTAGCTGATCTTCTGTTTTTGCTGCCTCCTCTTTCAGCCTCTCCTGCCTTCGGAATATCCTGTCACATGTAGGATTAATAATTGGAAATTTCAACAGGTTCAGTGTTGTTCCTGGAAAAAACAGAAGGCACGTTTGGGCCTCTGACTACCTGGCACATTTAAGCTCTGAGGAACAAGAGGAAAAAAAAAAAAATTGCTTCTCCAACTTCTGGGTGAAACACAGTAACACAAAGTTGGAGGTGGAACTAAAGCTTCTCCCATAAAGTACTAGCCTCCCCAGCCAAGGTGGCGGAAACGAGGCTTGAGATCTGCTCTCCCTATGGTTTGATGAAATGGGTCTCAAAGCCAAGCGGTGCCAAGACTGACTTAATACACCCCAGGCAAGTCCCACCTCCACCTCCAGGCAGCTTGGTTTGGCCTACAATTGCTTTACAGGTGCTCACCAGTCCACCTCCCGGTCTCTCTCTCTAGACTGGAGGGCACCCCTCATTGATAGGGAGATGGCAAGACACGCAGATCGGGTACTGTCCCCACTATCAGGGGAACACGCAGGCCGGATCTGGTTTACCAGCCCCCTCAGCGCTACGAGACGCGCAGCACTCTGTGCACACCTCCCACCATTGCCGCCCTGAGGAAGGTGACAATTCGAAGCATGGCGCAGCACTGGAGCTTGCTGCCCACAATGGCAATGCTTTGGGGTGGCGGGCACCCATTTGGTGACAGGTCCCCCTGCCCCACGGGTGGCCGAGGGTAGCCTTGCAGGAGGCCCGGGGCTAGCTGGCCTCTGAGGGCCCGACACC